TTTAAATGAACATGATTTTTCCGGATATTATATAATTTCTTTACAAATTATTTTATCTCAAATTACTTTTTGTTTTAATTTCTCTTTTTGTTTTATAATCGTGATCTCTGATCAAGGATTCCTAATCAATAGAAATACAATTCTTCAAATTCCATTGACTATAGGTTATCCCACTTGCTAGTCTTTTCTTAAACATAATTTTGAATTTAATCCCCTAATCGCTGCACTACCATCGATTTACCTCATGAGACAGGTGATTCGCTGCTTTCGCTGCTTTCTCTGTCCCCTTTGGCTTCTTATCAGTGTCAGATTCTCTAAGCCTTCTTTTCTCTCTGCATCCCAAAAATTACAACTGTCTACTTTATTTTAAATCTGTATCATTTTTTGTTCTCGTTTCCCTTAAAACGTCTACATTGCTCACATATTCTGTTCACGGTATTCTTAACATCCTTTTGTTGAAACACGTCTCAAGCACTTCATGTCTTACTTACATTTGTAAGGAAATTATCCAGCATCTACTGCCATATAGGAGGGTAGATGTTATATAGCAGTTCAACACGCTTTTCTTTGTTTTTAACGTTACACACACACACATATATATATATATATATATATATATATATATATATATATATATATATATATAAGTTTTTATGGTACAAAATTTAACAATAGCTAGGAAAAAAGCAAAATGTATATGGCGTTTTTTAAAAAGCTAAAAAAAGAACCGGTTTCGTCCACGGATTAAGTTTATTTTTCTGGGATGTAAAAAAATATATTAGCGAGTAAAATAAATTGATATAACGAATGGAATGGGGGGAAAATATGAATTTCAAGAAACTAGTCCAATAACATTCAGACCCGGTAAGCATTCCCTCTGTTTACAAAGGGAAGGCCCACGGGATCTGATATACACGGACTCTAGAACCTTGAGGTGATACGTGGAGTGGGACGTAGATAAAATCAAAAAACGGTCACCACTAAAATCAACCACATAATTCCTGTTATATTTTAGGAAGGTATTCCAATACGCTTTCGAATCTCTGCGTTACATTTTTCATTGTCTGTTTCTACATAGCTCACTTTTTGTACCTGTTTGATTGTAATGTCTCCAGTTAGTAGCAGACACACCATTGAGATGTCTGTTGCTGACGGCCATACAGAATTTATGGCCGTCAGCAAGAGACCTGTAGTTAATCATCCACAACCGAAAATACAGGATTTTTTTCCATTGCGGAACATGAATGTATTTTACTTCCTCCTATTCTATTTTACTGAAAATCTGAAAAAATAGGTGTCTGTCTTTGATTTACGAAAGAAAATAAACGAAGTGTATGTATTGACGTTTATGCTTGAATGGTCAATTTTTAGTCAGGCGGGCGCCATAGATTAAATCAAGGAGTGAATGATGATTTAAGGAAAATAATGAGTTCTTGAATTAGCTCCGTTCATGAACACCGTTGTTTCAAATGTGTAGACATTGACTAATTTTTATTTATTTTACGTTAGATTATATCTAGATTAAAAAAATTATCCCACACAAAATAAAATATCCTTAAAAGGCTGAGATAAATATACAAAGCAATACAAATGTTCAGTTCAAAAGAATGATTCGCTCTGAAAACTTATCGCCTGATGGCCCTCGCTACTGTTTCACACGCCTGTCACTTAGGTTGACCCGATTTACGCATGAACGGAAACTGGTCATATTGTTTCATAGTATTCACCGCTGCTGCTTGTCATATATATATATATATATATATATATATATATATATATATATATATGGTTTGTGCTCATTTATTTTCTTCTGTCGTTATTTATATCTTTCCATTATTTCTTACTCTGCATTCTGTAAAATTCCGCCGAGTTAAATTTCAATCGAGAAATCATACTACCTAGACAGAACTTTAGATTTATTACTATTGTGTACTCTATGAAAAGAAGAGAAAAAACGAGCGGGTGCTGAAAAGTTTTTGGCTTGACCCACTTCCCCAAATCAAAATTTCAATGGTCCATTATCAGAATACTGATTTTTGGGAAATGGGTCGAACCAAAAAGTTTTCAGTACCACCTTGTATATGTGAGATGGGGGGGTAATTCATTGAATTATTGATGTTTTCAGTTTTGTCTCAAATATTCTTAGAACACACACTTCTTAATAATTTTTGTTTTTTCATCTTCTTGGTTTCAAAAATAAAATAATTCAAGGAGAGGTACACTATTTACATTGTTCGGACTATCATCCTCATCTTTGTTGCCATATTTATCACAACATTTCGGCCTTCTTCAGGTGGTTGGAATGTCGAACTGAACCCTTTATTTCGCTCACTGTTAATTTGCACGTGTCATGTCTAATGGATGTCGGTTATCAGTTATCTCCTGTTAATTCCCCTCTCCAAGTTCTCCACTACTTTAACGCACACTCTTTGGGCCCTGTCACTGGATCTAACTAACGCCCTTATCCACTGTGCCATGTGTCCTTGAAGAAATCTGTGTATGAATTTCTCGGTATTATAAACCTAATGTCTTCAGCAACCAGTTTTTTTTTCCGGAGCTCATATTGCAATTTTTGTTATTATTGTTTTTCTCTGGCATTCCTTATTACTGGTTTCCATATTATATTCATGAGCACTGGTAAAAAGTGGATGCTGAAGACATTAGGTTTATAATACCCAGCGGTCATCGATCTAGGTATTGACCAGGCTTGACGTTGCTTAACTTCTGGGATTTATGGGAAGCGGTATTTCAATGGAATAAGCCTACATTTTCTTTCAGTTTTCTCGCAGTCTAAATACTTTTCAAACTTTTCACTTTTTTTCAATTTTACTCTTCGGCCTGCTGCGATAGCGTACATAAGATTTAACAAATTCACTTCGACCTGTTCCGATTTTCTTGCTTGGATTGGGTAATCGATTTAAATTGCAAAATCCGAGAGAATTTTTTGTTGATTTTTTTTTTTTTTTTTTTGTTCTATTGGGTTTTTTTTGGGGGGGAATATATCTGGACTTGCAAACTCACAGCTGACCTCAAGTAGAACTCGTACATACGATCAATCGCTAAAGAGGTCGATAAAATGGTCCTCTCCCTATAATTCTTTAGTATGTATCTGACACCTCATGCTATCTTCTACCTTTACAAGAGACAGAGCAGTCCGAAAATGGAGTACTGTTGTCATATATGGGCAGGAGCTGCCTAGTCATCACTCTGCAGATCAAAAGCGTCTCCGAGTCCTTTTGTGTGACGAGTTATTACCCCCCCTCAACCTCTCTCTCTCTCTCTCTCTCTCTCTCTCTCTCTCTCTCTCTCTCTGACAGGTGTGATATGGCGAGCCTCTCACTCCTATATCGTTACTTCCTTGGAAAGTGCTCGCACGAACTACATTTCTTGGTTCCTTCAGGTCTAACTTTCATGGCTAGGACCCGTTATGCTACTTACATTATAGCAAACCACCCACATTCCTTTCGTATTCCATCGGGAAGAATTAAGTTCCGCTCAAACAACGTCTTCCCGCGAACCACTGTTCTGTCAAACAGACTCCCAAGAGGATGTTTCCCCAATCACTACAATCTTAACCTGTTCAAGTCTAGAGCTAACCGTTATCTTCCCTTGCTATCCGTATAAACTACCTCATATCGTAACGCTCTACCTCGAGTGGACCCGGGCATTATACAGGATGAAACTTACTGTAAAAAGTAAAACATATACTGTTAGATTGAATGACAAAAATCCTGTCATTTACACAATTATTAGAACAATTTTCTTATAGTCATAACTAATTTTTAATCTTCCTTAATCGCGTTCAGTGATTGTGGCAGATATAAAGTAATTAACTGGCTCTTATGGTGTCCATGGTTCACAAACACAGAGAGAAACGGTAGGCTATCTTCATTACAGTGGTAATTAAGAAAGGCGGAGTCCTGTTATCTTTGACTACTGGAAGAAATGGTCGCTGTAGTTTGGGTAAACGGACAGTAAGATATCTGGATTCAGATAAATGGCGTCATACGCTGAGGTCGTATCCTAGCAAAGGCCCGTGATGAAAAGAGGGAGATCTGTTTTGGAATTCCGGACTCGAGGTCATCTCATTAACATCTTTCAGTTTCTTGTTTTTTTGTTTTTTTTGGTTTTCGTTTTTTTTTTGGGGGGGGGTATTCTTGCACGATGGGAAAATATTCTCTTTTGTTATATTTTTCTTTTATTTATTTACTGACTTAGTTATCTGTAATTACCACAATACATCCCCGTCCTTAATTGGAGCTTCTATGTAAAGTATTAGAACTAAGGTACACGTCTTTCTGAGCATATGGTTCTCAGAAATTGGGTTCGAGATTTCTACCTTGTTTAAACTTTTCTTCGTCAACGTCTATTTTCAGATATTTAAGCGGGCTGGCGCACCCTATAATAAATAATATTATGGTAAATACAGCAGGATTAATGCAGCAGATTTAACGTCATGTGCGTACGTTTTGTTTTATTAGAGTAGGTTTGGGCGGGAAAATTCAAGTGGCGATGCCTGGACTGTAAGTTTGCAGATTTTGCTCTATACGCATGTCGTTGTGGCAGCGAAAGTTTTAAAACATATTTTTTTAAAAATGGGAATATATAAACAAAATAGATAAACAAATGTGTATATGTGTTGTGACTTGTTCCGATAAAGCTTCAAAAAATTAAATCCTCTGAATGTCCTGTTAAAATCATAGCGCCCCCGATAACTCCCTTGATGTCTAACAATCCTCCTGAAAATTCATCGCACCCAAAGGGACATTACAATTCCAGGTTGAGAATCATTCTATTACGTAGACGATTGATATTCTCATACTTTTCATTTATTGTTTTTCTGTCCTCCTGTTGTTGTTATTGTTGTTCTTCTTCTTTTTTCTTTTTCTTCTTCTAATTAGAATGTTTCCGAGCCGTTATTAATTGTTACGTTCTCTCTTCATATGCTTATTCGCAACCAAGTTTCATATGCAATTCATTTGTATCTTGAAATACCCAGCTTACGGCCACATCATGGTGAAACACCAACTCCCGTAAGATCACTGAAATTAAGCAACGTCGAGCTTGGTCAGTACCTAGATGGGTGACAGCTTGGGAATACCGAGTGATGTAAGCTTGGGGATGCAGTGGTGTAATGAATAATGGCTCGGAATGTAGCCGAGTCCCAATTCCAGTTAGGTTTGTTATATTTGCTTAAGCGTAAATATTATTGGGAAAGGTATGAATCCACAATTCCCCCAGCTATGGGTTAATTAATAAATCTCGTATCACGAAAATCATTAGTATCCCCAAAAATTAAAATAAAATTGCGTACAAAATATTTAGATTTCGGTATTAATTAACCCACAGAGGCGTTGATATGTCGCTAAACAAAAACAAACAAAATTGAAATGCCCATATAGTTTTTTTTTCCTTATTTTGGGACGTTCTGTCATTTTGTTAGTTCTGTTGTGACATCCATTGTTTGTAATTAATATTTCATTAATCTGCCTTGTGTAGATCTGAAATCCCTTGATCGTCGTAATCTTCAATGCTAATAAAACCTCTTCCTCTTTCGATTCATTTACGTTATTTCTCTCAACATACCCTGCGTATATGGCTTTATGCAGTTTTATCAACATCCCCAAATATCTTTTTTTCTTCTCCGGTTTAAGAACGATTTGCCATATATCTTACACAAAAGGTTATTATTATTATTATTATTATTATATTTCTTTTGATTTCTGTTGCATATACATTTCCTTCTGGACACATTTTACATAGATAAAGCGTTTCGTCATATTTGAGCTGTACTTGTGGGCACATTTTTTTTTTTTGTATTTCTTTAAATCATGGGTTACCAGGAATCACTTAAATAAATTTATCGGAACCTTTTCTAATCAATCCACGGGCTCCAACTACAAGTGGAATTATTGATGTCTTCATGTGCTGCATTTTTTAGATTTCCACTTCAAGATTCTTGTATTTTGATAGTTTTTTTTTTTTTTTTGAGATTTTTTTTATCATTTCATCCCGAGCAAGGCGGGAATGCCACTGGTAGGTAGGGAGAGGTGAGAGAAAAAAAACTGAACATGTCGGGGGGGGGCCGAGGAAAGGATAAAAGCTGAACGGAGTTCCAGAAAATAACAGATAGTGATTGACGTTGCATTTAATTTTTGAAGATTGTAGTTATCAAGGAAGCAAGCAAACTGAAGGGAGTTCCACAGTCGGGAAGTGCGAGAAAAGAAACTTTTGGAGTAGAAGGGGCGGTTACGTTTAATTATTTCAACATTGAAAGGATGGGACCTAGATGCTAATTTAGTAGTACGCTTAAATTCACGTAGTCCGGGCACCAGGGAAAATTACATTGCAAATCCTTCTTTGGATTTTGTCAGGAACATCGCGATAAGTAACAGGAGCACCAGACCAGATATGGCAATAGTATTCAATGCACGGAAGAATGGTTGATTTGTAAATGTGCAAGATCTTATATAAATGTGCAAAATATTCTGGCACGACACAGTGACCCAATTTTCCTTACAGTAGATGCAGCTATTGATTCGATGTAGTTGTTCCACTTCAAGTCAGTTGAAAACGTGGGGCCAAGAAGGCGCAGTATGTTGCTCTCCATGAGTCTAGCATCAGCCATGGTGGTTAAATTAGAGCAATTTAGTTTTGGAGGCATTAAAATTTACAACCTATTTCTTGCCCCAGTTAACCACTGATTGGAAGTCCTTTTAAAGAGCAGCGACCAGGTTAACGTTGTTATCTCTGACGGATTTGCTACTGACATAGATGTAAATGGTAGTGTCATCAGCATAAATGCCTAGTTGGGAACTTATCTGATCAGGAAGATCAGAAACAGCTAGATCCTTGGGGGACAGCTGCACTAGGGCGAAAGGGTCTGGAAGCGAACCCATTCAAAACGAACTTTATTTCACGATTTGATAGGAATGATTGGATTAAATCAAATAACCGTCCCGTAATACTGTAGCCCTGGAGCTTACGTAGAAGACCATCATGACAAAAGTCTTCGAGATATCTAGAGCCACAGTACAAGCTTCGCCATTATTATCAAGAGCTTCATAAACATATTCAGTGATGGCCGTTAGCACATCAGTCATATACCTGGCAAAATGGAAGCCATATTGTTTGTTAGAGAATAGGTCGTGAGAAGTAAGATGCTTAACCACTTCAGCATTGATGAAAGCCTCGAATAAATTGTCAAAAAGCAGTAAGAGATTAATAGGGCGATAATTATATGGGTCAGATTGTTCTCCGGAGTTCTTAAAAAATGAACTACAGAGAAGGACTTTCAAAAAGCTGGAATGTAGGAAGTAGCGAGGCAATAGTTGGAGAGAACTGGAGCCAGCTCGGGAGCACATTTCTTTAGGACGACGGCTGGTATCCCGCCACCTCCGCTTGCCTTATGGGTGTCTAATTTAGAAATGATGTCTGAGACTAGTGACGGGGTTATGCGCATACCATTCAGTAGAATCCCTGTCCTATTGGAGAAATCAAGTGTAGGTACTCCAAATGAGTCGGGTGTTGATTTGGAAGAGAATTTCCGAGCAAAGCATTCAGCCTTATCCGCTGTTGATGTCTAGACTTCGCATTGATTGAATAGAGGAGGGATCGGGGTCTTGCTGTTGTTCAGCACACTCTTGCAGAACTGCCAATAATCTCTAGAAGGTTCTATCAGCAAATAGAGACTTCGCTTCTTTGAGGACACGCCAACACTCATTATGAGTAGAGACAAAGAGACCTCTGTTACAGTCAGACGTGTCACTTTGGTACAGGTAGAATAATTGATTCCTGTGGGTCATAGCCTTCCGAGCATGCAGTTGAGACCAAGGAGATGAACGTGATTTAACTTCGTATTTCCTTGCTGGAATGAAAGCATCGATGCCGGCTTTCACCCAGAAGGATACCTCAGACGCGCATTTTTTAGCAGGAAAATTAAAAACTTCATTCTAAGGGACGTCACGAAGGAAATCACGGAACGAGTCTCAAACTGCACGTTGATAATAAAGATATTTTGTTGGTAGGACTTTCTTGGTTAGTGGGAAAGCTGGAAGATGTTTACAGACACTACCGCATGATCAGAGTCACATGGTACGACATGAGTCAGGGATAGAGGGAAAAAAGATCTAGTGTCCATGAGGGTTACTGGGGAAAAGCGTGGGGAAGTCCGCCACTTGCGTGAGAGATTGAGAAGTTCAGGGTTTGGATGTCAGCGAGGTCAGTGACGGGGTGCCTAAGCCATCTGATATGGTAGGCATTAAAGTCAACGAACACAAATATATTTGCAAACGGGAGGGAGATGGTCTTGTCTATATTATTAGAAATACTATCGAGCACGCAACATTCATGAGAGGAAGGGGAACGGTAAAGAAAGAAGATATAGCTGACAGTTTATTAGAGAATATGTAAGAATGATCTGGAGATTCAAGAGAGAGCTCCCTAACCAGCTGGAGATGTTCGCGGGCATAAACTCTCAGGTCATGCATGCATGTTGACATTAGAGTCCTCCCTAAAGAGAGGAAGATAGCCAGGAATCGCGAAATCAGAGGAGGGTATTGAGTTTCGCGGAGAGCTAGGATGTCAGGAGACTTTTCGAAAAGGAAAGATTCCACACTGCAGAAGTTGATCAGAATATCACGAATGTTGGGAAAGAAAAGTTGATGGGTTTAGGTGTTTTTGTTGAGCTGGTTTAGTTTATATCTTTGGTTGCTTATAGTCACGGTGCGTTAATTTGGTAAGGAAAGACCTAGGGTAGTAGTAGCACTCGGATGTCTAATGTAACGTGCGGGAAGTGAACTGGCACAGACTGAAACATAGTGTGGCCTGGAGGTTGCCCACCGGAGGTGATTGCAAGGACACCAGTCCATGCGTGACATGGCACTGCAAGAACCCCGATATTATACGACTGTTGATCAGAGCACCCTTTCAAGACGCTAAGCTAGAGTTAGAGCTCCTAAATACCAGTCGGGTTCAACTAGAAAAATGCCAACCCGGTACCCTCAGAATGAAGATACGTTGCCACAATGCACACATATCACAAAAAAAAAATCATGACAGCACCACTGTTAAGGCCTGAGAAAAGGAACCGGGAACTCCTTCCTAAACAGGAAACAAGGGATGAGCCTCTACTCTTGTTCAAGAGAAGCGGGAGGAGTATGATAGGAAAGCTTATCTACAGTAAAATCTGCAGGAACTGTCATGTCAATAAGAAAGCACATTTTGTTTTTGTGGTCTTTGATCACGATGTCTAGGCAATTAGCTTTGATTGTTCTCTCTGTGTATTTTGTAAAGTACCATGAAATTTATTTATTATTATTATTATTACTATTGATGATGATGATGATGTTTTAACTGTTACCTCGTCTGATTAGTATAACGGTTATCGGCGCGAAAAGTGGCGTCGGCATGCCGGGTTCAAATTTTGGCCTAGTCTATTTTTTTTTTTTTTTTTTTTTTTTTTTTTTGCACAATTATATTTGGGAAAGGTAGGAATCTATCTTTACTTGCTACAACAATGAGTTAAATGGCAAAGGGATGTCCAGGCTTGAGTAGCAGTCAGTTTAGAAGAATTATAAACTGTAGAGAAGTCAGCGGAAACCGCCCACTATCTTTCCCAATATATCATGGCATTTTATAATGACCTTTGGAAATGCATGAATCCATTTCTTCTCCCTCGTTTATCTTTGGGTTAAATAGACCTCTAAATTTAGGTAGCTACCAGTCTAGGAGAAAGACAACACTTAATTCAAATCCTTGGAGAAGACAGCAGAAAACCATTCCAGTCTCTTTTCCCAAGAAGTCATAGCAGTTCACAGATAATACAAAGAGGAAACAGGATCACTGACATCCTGAAATGACGTGGCTTTAAAAATATTTTTATTGCCTTTTCCTCCATTCAATCATTGTAATGACATGCTACTTGATTGAATCCCATTATCCTTGTAATTAACATCTCACCGTGCTGACATGTTATTGTTTAGGTAAATCAATTATTGCGTGAGAGCAGCACACCAGTAGAGTGACGCTGGACTGTAAATATGGTAATAATATTAGTCTTTTCCCTATAAGGACACATTTGACATTCATTAAGCGAGCAGCCAGTGCCGACATTGGTTGAAATTTATAAATCTTTCTCTTCATTTTGTTTTTCAGGAAAATAGTTTAGTAGCTGTTCCAATGTTGATCTGGGTTTCCTTAACTTTTTGCTTCAAGCAGTATGAAACGCTAACATCTTGTGTCATTATTCTCTCTTCAAGTTACATGTGTTGTCCATTTTTGTTGTTGCTGCTTTTCAAAGAGGTGTGGTTTATTTTATCTGGCATAGTTCATTGTGATTCTTCAATGACAACTAACGAAGCTCAAAGAAGGACGGTTCTCGCCAAGTCCTACTGATTTAATTCGCTTGAAGTCACCTTTTAACCATCGATTTGATAAGTGGATGTATACAACTGATAGTCTAGATATTTCTAAACAAGTTTGGCGCAGTATATGGCAGCCATATAAAAGTTTCGTTCTGACGCGATTAAGAACTAGTTTTTAGCCCTAATGCAGTCATAGGCAAATTGCGGCCCGCGGACCACATGCGGCTCGATTGGCATTTTGAATGGAACGCCTAATTTTATGAGGAAAATAACGCTTATTAAAATGTTTGTTTCCTTTCGTTCTCACTTGTTCGCTGATGCATAGCCACATACATAAACAATGATTAAGTACAACTTGTCTTGAATGTTGTAAAATTTCGTTGAAGGTAACGTTGTCAGCATTTTAAACCATTGGCGATTTTCACTAAGGAAGATCATAAGTGCAAACACCTTTTTGCTTCAGAAACCGGAAACTAATGATAATTATTTTTCTCCAGTGAATAAATATACTTCTTTTTAAAATGTTTTTTCATTGTTGAATGAATAAGTTAAAAACAAATCACACACAGCAGTGTATGTCAATCACTCTGTCGTCAGTGATAACATTATATGAGGACTTTTCTTTTTTTAATTATAGAAGGAATCTTCTATCTAAAGAAAAAAATTAACTTTTTTTTCCATTTCTTAGGCAGATGCTTATGCGCATCTTTTGTTGAGAAAATGGATGCGATATCTGTAAAGAAAAAATCTTTTCAGTAGTGCAGCCCACCTTGTGATGAACTGTGCCTCGCGTGGGCCACTGTTCAAAAAATGTTGCTCATGCCTGGGTTAATGTTTTGGTGTTGTAGCTGCTTGTGGCTTTGGATGAAACTACTCACAGCGTAGCCTATTTTATGGTCCATTTCCTTATCCCCAATACTAATTTTGTTGTAATCGATCCATACACCAAGGTATTTGAAATGTTTAGTATTTACTAATTCTGCATCATGAATGTTTATGAAGGTATTGTAATCTGGGATCTGGCAAGACACAACACTTGACTCGACAAAGTCAGTCATGATAGTAATATTCAATACTCAGCTAGACAAGTCACTGCAATAGTATTACCTTCTTCCTCCTAGATAATTACTCAGGACTATTTATTATGAATGGATCAGACCATTCATGATAGTAATGGAGGTAAATGTCTCTTACCACAACAGAAGGATTCAGTGTACACGCCGTCACTGTTTTCATTCTAATTCCAGATCATTGTATACGAATTTCAATATACCATCATGACACCCAATCTGATAAGAGTATACCAGGCTCATGCATCACAGCCAAATTTGCAAGATTTGTTAATAGGCTTTGATAAAAGCAAGTGTATAAACTTACGGATGGTGTCTAGTTAGAAATCTCTTTAAATTGGGTAACCCAATCAACTCGAACAGTCTCCCATCGAGGATATTCTCAAAACTTTAGACACGCCTCTCAGATCGCCTTGTCTGTCTCATCTTTCAAAATTAAAAAAAAATAAACTCTCTCGACACCCACCCAGTAGGGTTCCCGCCACTACTGTTACTGATGAACAGAAGACATGCCCGAGGGGTTAAAGTCAGACACTTGACAAGCAAATCTGTAGTACTGAACGGGATATTTATAACAGCTTCTCTTACTTCTCCAAGCAAAATAGGTACATGTTAATATTTCCAGCCAATTAAAATTAGAAGCCAATGAGAGTCGTGCCTTGTGTGGCATCAGGACATTAATTATTATTATTACTATTATTATTATTATTATTATTATTATTACCAGGTCGCAACAGATACTCGCAGTCAAACTGGCGCCAGTCGGCGGCTCCAACAGAAGATCCCCCACCGCCGCCATCTTTGGCTGGTTTATGGACTCAACAAACTCCTGTAACTCAGTTTCCTGATGATGATGTTGATGATACTCTGCCACCACCACCGACGTTTATTGCTGACGATTACGACACAAACTACGACCAGTATCCACAGCATTTAAGTGGCATTATACCTTCCATATCAGATCTTCCTGAGGTCAGCACAGACTATGACGACAGCCAGGGTCTCTATCAGACAACAGGAATGTACATGATGCAATCGCAAGAGCCTGAGCATTTTATGGAAAAAGGTAATAAAACGCTATTTTAATTCCTTTAATTATCCCTTCATTTGTATTCATATGCGTAACCATATTTTATGCGTGAATCTATGTGAGAAACTCTTCTAAACTAAAATGAGCAATTTATAAGTGAATTATTTGTTCAACTCTCAAAGCATCATTCAGTCGTTCGAAGTGAATCAACTGTTTTATCGTGTCTTCAGGAGCTTCTTTAATCACTAGCTTATGACTATCTAGCCACTAAATATGGCGGATGCTAAAAGTCGCGAAAAATTTAAGACTCCATATTCTTTTTGTTGATGCCCTTTATTTATTTTATGCAATAAAATTTACAAAACTAAGATAATTTTTTGATAAATGCATGTACGTTCGCTTGTGTCTGTGAATGAAGATATATATTCGCCAGTGAACCGAATAAAAATATAAGAATATTATATAAACAGTCTGTGTATCAATACTGTATGGTGGCTGGCAGATTTGAGAATGTATCATTAGAGAAAGATGAAATTACCAATCACTATGCAGTGTTTACTTATATGTCCACATGGTTTATATCTACATACTCTCTATGATTCTAAGCGGTCTCCCTGTTAATATTGTAACTTTTAAACACTATAATTTATATATTAACACAAACAAGCAAACTATTCCCAAACAAATACACTTAATATGACACCCGAGAAAAAAGAGCTCATTGCCACAATAGCAAAGCATTTATACATATACGTATCATAATCATCCGGAACAAACACACATACACCTCTCTCTCTCTCTCTCTCTCTCTCATATATATATATATATATATTGTGTGTGCGTGTTAGCGACAAAAAACATGAAAATTTACTTTTTCAATCTCTTTTGCTCAAACAAATTTCGCGGAATAATTCTGTGTAATTTGTCGCAGTGATACATGCTTTGGATTATAAAATTATTTGTTGTCTTATTGTTCACCATACTTTATCACAGTGTCTTCTGTTTTTGTCGGCTACGGTCAAATCACGCTGAAAACGCCGGTTCTCGTTCAGTCACTGAAGTTAAGCAACGTCGTACTCCCTTAGATGAGGGGATTGTTTGGGAACACAGTACAGTAAGCAACCTCATTCATATCGAAATATGTTTTAGCTTCAAATAACAAAGAGGTTTCATGAGCCTTAAAAAAATCACTCAGTATATATTTGCCGTTGTTGCAGATTTCAAAATGTTGATCGTTAATATAATTGAAGACATATAAAATATAGCACTCAAAAATTACTTTCCTGCTATTTCGAAAATAGTAATAGTAAAAAAAAAAAAAAACTAACACTCATATTTTCTCTGACAGATACAAGATATTAAGGATGTTATCAAAAATGCTGGAAGATTTTTTAGTATATTATATCATGCAAGAAACCTTGAATGACTATGATCCTTCAATCTCTGTCGGTGGCAGACCCGTCTGTAACTTATGTTTTGCGGATAACATTGACCTCATAACAGGTAGTAACAGTGAGCCCCATGACTTAACCAACAAACGTTTTGAAAGAGGAGGAGCATATGAAATGGAGGTCAGCTTCGAGAAATCCAAAGTAATGGTGAATAGCACAAACACTAACACCTGTGTCAAAATTACCATTAATGGAATTTCATTGGATGGAAGTGTCTAGTTTTAAATACTTAGGAGCAATCTTGTCTAAAGATGATACCTGCAAATCGGAAATCCACACACGGATTGCCGCAACCATGACAGCGATGGCCAAATTGACAAGAATATGGAGGAGCAAAATCAACTTTCAAACAAAGTACAGACTATACAAATCGCTGGTAGATTCCATTCTCCTATATGGATGTGAAACGTGGACACTATCGGCAGATACAAAGAGGGGTCCAAGCGTTTGAGAAAAAATGCAGGAGAAAACTCCTTGGAATTTTCTATTGGGAACAAAAAAGCAATGAGTTTGTGTGGAAAAGGGTTGAAAGAAACCTCTTCTCCCTCCCCACTGCCAAACGAAGAAAAATGGTGTTGTTTGGACACATTACAAGGTATGATTCAGCCTGTGTAAAACCATTATGCAAGGCACCGTTGAAGGTGGACGTAGAAGAGGACGCCAACGCAAAAACTAGTTGAACAATGTCAAACAATGGACAGGTATAACCGTACCAGAATTGCTGATGGCTGCCCTTGATAGACCGTTGTGGAAAAGAGTTAGTGTGACTTCTGCATTCGGATCCGTCCTACGATTACAAAAGTCAAGGGGATTATGATGATATACATTCGGTTCTGTTATTTAATATCAGTCTTCCTATATGGCAGTGAAGATTAAGAAGAGATTTGTGACAAATGCTGTTCTTAAGACGGGTGTCAGGAATATATTGTGCCGAACGTGGAAGCAACGAAGAAGTTTTAGGAAAAAATGGAAACAAAAAAAAAGACACGTATACTTAACAAATAAGTCTGGTGCGCTATTGAACTGGTGTCAGAAGACGTGGCACCTACCGAGTAGAAACCTTCATCATGTCAAGTTTATTGTGTAAAATATTCTCCACTCTCTCACCAAAAATTGCTAATAACATTGACTGATTTTTAGTCAAGTGCCTGCCATGCATCCTCATGTAGCGAATACGCTCACTATTTTCTTCTGTGGTGGCAGTTACAGAACGTTCAGATCTTGGGTCATCTTCAAGAATTTTCTTTCTCCTAAATTCAGCTACCAACTTCGGCACTGGGGGCCATCCCTTAATATAGTAATCATGTCAGCTTGAATGTCCTTGGGGACTAAACCCCTTTTTCTGTAGGTATTAACACCACGGTGCCAAATTTTGTCCATTTTCAAGAGAAGTCGCGACTAGTAACTTTTGAAGTCTTCTTTAAACAGTCAATCGTCAGTTTACCTGGAAAGAAAGAATAAAGTTATTAAGACAAGTTGAAATTAATGAATGCAATATTTAATAGCTCAGTTTTTCAGCCCACTCTCGTATCTCCAGGGTGTAAAAAAAAAAAAAAAAAAAAAAAAGAACAAATTCTATTTCGATATACTGGATTCTTTATTCGTGGATACAACTGATACTATCTTTGAGGTAGGTAAGAGACACCTTGGACATCTTTATTTATTCCCTTCGGCCTGCAAGAACTCCGACTGTCCGTCTATCATTACGACTCTCTCTTATATCTCGACAGTCGGCTCATGACTGTCGGCTCTATTTTGCCGCTCTTCTGCCCATATTTATGTCACAACGTATAACTTGTCACACTTAAATGCTCCTGATTGGCCATTGTAGAATGCGGCTTGACTAACAGTCAAAATCCCTTACCTTTTGGCTGAGTAGCACTTGATCTCGAAAGTTTTTTTTATTTATTTATTTATTTAATTTATATCTTTTTTTCCTCGCTTGAAGATAGCGTGTTGTTGATTTTGAAGCTCTCATATCTTGATTTTATTATTGGTTGTCATAAAACACCAGTTTCTTCAGGCCCAGACAAAATCATTTGCATCTTACTTCTCTACAATTGTCTCTTAATCCAGTCAAGGGCAACACATATTCTCAAATTTCACAAAGTAAATTTATGCCGAGGAAAAATTTAAAAAAAAAAACTTTTCAACTGTCCAAGTGCTGCTTCACCTCACAGTCGATATATGATACATTTCATAGATACCTATATAATTCCATCTTTCAACATAAAATATTTAGATCAAACAATAAAATCGGCTTCAAATCTCATTTTTCGGTAATCAATATTTGACCAGAAATAAGGTAATGTCTCCTATTTTATTTTGTTAGATCACAATGTTGTTATATACGGACGTTGGTGATATAACAGTAGATGTTGAATCTTCTAGTTAATAACCTCTAATCTCGAATGCCTTTTTACAAATAGCAGCCTTATGACAGTCTGGCAAAATGGCGTTTGACATGAAAATACGTTCGAAGTAAAAGCCTGTAATTGAATCTCTTTGTGCGGAAATATTTCGCCCATTGACATTCATCGACATTTATTAAACGTATAAAAAGAATTCTGGTTAATTCGTTTTCTACGGCTTATCAACCAGGCTAGAAACCAGAAAAATTTTTAGAATGTAGATTTTGTTTAGATAATGATTTAATTATACAGGTCTTACTAATTAACCCATAGCTGGGGGAGGAGTTATATTCATACCTTTCCCAATATAACGAACTCAACTGAAATTGGAACTCCGATTAACAATTCTGAGGCATCATCCATTACATTACTCACACATCCAAGCTTACAGCACCCGGTATTCTTAAGTGCTCGCCCATCTAGTTACTGAATAGGATCGATGTTGCTTAACTTCGGTGTTTCAGCGTGATGTTGTCTTAAGCTTATAAAAAGAAGTGAATATAGTCACATTTAGGCAGTGAATAATTGTGTGTGTGAGAGAAAGAGAGAGACAAGCCATGTTCTGAGCGGCCTTGCACAACTGCCAACCTACAAAATGAAGATCACTTCGATCAGTGATGGCTTCTCGGTGTAGAAATAACGTTTTGTAACTGAAAATTCATCTATCCGGTGTATTTGTTGTTGTCTCCTTGGAAATAAATAGGAGCCATTTCTTCCGGAGCTTCTCTCATGCGTGTGGATGTGAACCTAGAAAGATACTATTGTGCTGATCTATATCGCACATACATACATACAAACACAAATACAAATCACATACAACAACAAGCCTTCATTGGTAAATAATTCACCACTACGTTATTATAGACTATTTACAAATCGCAGCAATGCGACAATTTTTAATCGCTCTATTTTCATGTAGTCAATTTTGTGCACTTTTGGGAGAAACGGATCACTGAAGTTTTCTTAAATCTCCTCAAAACTCGCTCGCTGATTGGTCAATGCCAACCAATCAGATCGACTGCACGTGAAAACTAACTTTTCCTGCGCAGCGATCTGGAACCTGTAGTCACTTATATAAGCAAAAAATTAGTGAAAATTCAGCTGCCAAACGAATCCACGACAGTTGAAACCATGCGCCAACCTTCTCACACACACACACCACTCACATGCTGAACATTCCTTATACACTCACATAATCTTTTCTTACACAGCAAAATCTTCTGAGAACAATCATTATAAGAAACTCCCATAAATATTCTTCCAGTGAACTTTGAAATACTAAAAATACAGTTAAAGAGAGACAACTCTTGTTTTATTCAAACTTTCCTTACTTAAATGCATGCTTTCTTCCACATCATTGTTTAATATTGTACATCTTGTTAAATACATATTTCATGTGTAACAATGTCTTTTGCTTATCCTTTTCCACGTCAGTCTTGTTTCCTAATCTAAAGTGAAATTAATGTGGTGAAGTCCACCACACCATCAATACTACTTACTTGCTATTCTCAATCAATATTTACATTAGAAGAGTCACATGTCAAAGACACCGGGCACAGAAGTTTAGGAGCTTACCAACATTGAAACAGAAATCCATAAGCAAAGGCTATGTTGGACGGGTCATTTAAACAGAGTATAAGTGCATACTAGAAAAAAAAACTACTGTATGTACAGATTAAAGATGATAAAAGCTCAACAACGTAAGCCAAAAGCAGGTTTTTAAGATTTAATAGACAAGTCACCCACAGTTTTAAAGCCAACAAATCAGCATAATAGGTAGACTGATGCTACTGACTGATTAAAATGAAGGGGAACATTTATGAAGAGCAAAGTTCTTGGAAGAAAACAGGTGCAGTCACACAAAGGCGAAAAGGACCACAAGAATCGTGCCCAATTTTAATAAAGTATGTAGAAATAAGTCTGGATTAGCTGGATATATGAAAACTTACAATATGAATGTAAGCTACATTAAGAATCAAAACAAGAGCTTTTGTGTCGTCCTTGTAGAAAAAAAAAAGATATAAATCCCTTGCAGTACTTAAGAGCCAGTGTAGATCACAAAATTTATCGGTCATTATCGGTCAGTTCTCACTGGTTTTATTCATTTTATTCAATTTTTAATATGTAACAATAATGCATACTATTTTTTTTAATTTTGCAGCATAATTCTCAAGTTTTATATACTAACTTTTTTGTAGATAATTTTAATTAAAATTACTGTAACAGTGTTAAGTCAATTCAGCAGTTATACTATGTTAATGTGTTAGAAATAGTCATAATCGATTAACGCCATATATATGCATAGCTACCAATGATTCGAGGATTTTGACCTTACACTAGCACTTATTTTCTCTTCTCACCGATTGCTACCAAAATAACGTACTGGTTATAATGGATAACGAGGGAAAAGTCGCGCCTACTTTTCAATTTCCCCGAATTTTGGGGTAGTACTTAGCATATGACTTCTTTTCGCTTGGTAATATTTTCCCGTTCGAGCATGCGCACTCATATTTCTGCGTGTACAGGTTTGGCTGGTGAAAAAAAAAGACTATATTATTCGATGAATAGAAGCAGAACTTAAAACACGTAACCGTGTAGCATTTCAAATTGTGTATTTTTCAAAAATGAGGCGAAAGGCGATGGTTGAGTGATACGGTTTTTATTTCATTTGTCAGCTTACACTGATACTTATGTTGAGCTGCAATGCCAAAAGCAAATAGAATATAGTCTTATTTGAAGACAAAACCCCCAATGAACTTCAGTTGTAACATGCATAAATAGTTTCTCCTGACCTGAATAGAAATGCCGTGTGTTTTTATTGTTTTGTTTGTTTTTTTTTATCACGTTTTCTCTCATAAATTTTGGGAAATGTTACAACACAGTCTGATCCCAAACTCTTGACTTTTAGAATTTTTATCATTATTATTTACTTTTTAAGTAAAATCTGACACACACACACACACACACACACACACACACACACACACACACACACACATATATATATATATATATATATATATATATATATATATATATATATATGTAACCCGGATATAAGAGACCCGGATATAAGAGATTTTCTCTGGTCCCAAATTAGATCCTGTGTTAATGTATATAAATTAGACCAAACCCGGATATAAAAAAAACCCGGATATAAGAGACTTCTCCGGCCCCGACAACTCTCTTATATCCGGGTTACACTATATATATATATATATATATATATATATATATATATATGAAACGGAAAGCTAGGTTGATTTGGCAAATACCCTTGGAAAAGGTATGAATTCATCTTAAATAGTAGGAAAGACTGGCCTTGTGTGGCACCCGGTCTAGGAGAATTCAAAACTTGAGACGTGTCGTGAGGCACGCTGTGCACCAGTTCTTTGTGTTCGGATCTTCCAAAAAAAGTGGTTGCTTCTGCATAAGCCTTCACCGCCATAATTAAATCATATGTGCGGGTAGCCTGGCTGTTTGGTTCTAAGAACTGAGCTGTTGGACCCTCATACGTCGAAAAGTGTGTGTGTGGGAAAGATATATGTATAATGAAAATTATCCGAGACATATCACTTGATTTTTTTTCTTCGGTTTTTCAAAAAAATGAGACTTTTCAAGTTCACTGTTATCACTCTTTCTAGTATTGATGTGTATTTCCATCCAAACATTTTGCCTTGGGTGGTGTGGAAAAGCTATATTTTGATTATACCATTATTTCCATTCTAATTAAAATTTTGTTGCTGTTGGAAGTTCTCAAGTGATATGGTTTCTGTTATTTGTCCAAACTTTTTCTTTTTTTGTATGACTATAGGCTCTGATGAAGGATTTTCTTCTTTTATATGATTTGCTTAGAGAGTATCAAAGTCAGATTGGCAGCTGATCTCAAAAGTGACATGCAGTCCAGTCTTTTGTTAACTGGGGCAAAGAATGGTTTGTTAATTTTGACGCCTCCAAAAACGAAACTGCTCCCTGTCTCATTTCTCTGCCTCCCATTAGCATGGAAATAGGAGAATGACTCATTGCGCCTTTTCGGGCTAACATTCTCGACTGACATGAAGTGGAAAGACTATATTAAATTCATTACTCGGGCTGTTGCTAAGAAAGTTTGTTCACTGTGTCCATGCTACATGATCTTTCTCTCCAGAAGTCTACCATTCGTCCATGCTTTGAATATTCTTGCCACATATGGTTCGGTGCTCCTGATCTTTATTTCGAGATTCTTGATAAAATCCAAAGAAGAATCTGCAATATTATTGGTCCTGACCTGGCGTCTCGGCTTCAATCACTTTCCTCCCGGCGCAAAGTTGACTCACTGTGCCTATTTCTCTAAGTACTTTATGGTAATTGTTCGTATGATCTCTTTGCTATGGTAGCTAAAATTGTATGAATTTAAGCACAGTATTAGATTAACATCAAGGTCTCATCAATCCGCAGTTGAATTGGCTAGAGGTAACCACAAGTTCCGTGTTAACAATTTCTTTTCTCACGCTTTCCGATTGTGGGACACTCTTCCACCTCCATGCTTTCCAACTAACTTTGAACTTTAAAAATTTAAATACAATGTCAATCGTTATCTACTGTCTTCTTAATTACTCTATTGTTCTCGCTTTTTAATAATGCTTCTGTGTTCTAATTTTTTCGCACTCAGTAACCCTTTGTGTCTTAGTGGCATTACTGCCTTACTTGGAGTGAATTGGATTAAAAACAAACAAAAAATAATGTGCACACATATTTTATAGGATCTGTTTAGAAACATATTAGACATATGCAGTTTAGATAAATTTAGGGGATAGCACTAAATCAATATTTGCATTTTTACTAAGTTTAATTAATTGCATCTTTATTTTCCCCACTTTTTTTTTTTGCAGTGATTGCAATCTATGACTACACGGCAAATGAACCTGATGAACTCACTTTTCAAGAACATTCCGTCATTTACGTGCTCCAGAAGAATCAAAACGGTTGGTGGGAGGGCATCGTTAACGGCGAACGTGGTCTCTTTCCAAGCAATTACGTTGAGCCTTGTATTTGACATGTGATTAAATAAATTCAGCAAAGAAAAGCAACACAGACAGGAAAATAGTGCGTGTCGCCTAGACTTCAGCTATTTCAGCAATAAAAGCCATGCAATGAAATAGCCAAAGAGATTCTGCAAAAAAACAATTTTTTTTTTAAATCGTATTTTTTTTTTTTTTTTTTTTAAATCCTTGGATAGTAGAATATTTCTTGGAGAGAAAATTAAAAACCTAATAATAGTATTTAACTTGAATCATATAACGGAAACTTCAAGGTAAAATTGATAGTAAAATTGATGTTTCTTCTTTACTTAATTTCCGACTTAGTTTACAGACTACAAACCGGTGTCTGACTATCGAGTCAAAATGATAAACTGAGTATCAGATATCATTGGTAAACTCTCAAGAAATTTATTACAAGACAATGTCTTATATAAGAGCTATTATTTGTATTTAATTAATGTTTATTAACATAATTTATAGAAGATTAATAAACTAATACATTATATAACTCATTAAACTGGCTATCGGGGTTCTAGTTAACTACTGGGTAGGAGTGGTTCATATATACTTAACCTAGAACTCAAGATATACAATTCCCTTTGCAACAAAGGCAAAATTCTATCTATCAGAATAATTTTATTCCTATATGAATTTTTGAGACGAATTATCGGTACTATTATACAATGATTCTTTCGGACAATTATCCTCATCTTGGCTCTTTTTTTATCACGACGCTCATGTATGTATGTGTAATTGCTAAAAATGATGTAAAAATTGACGCTGATAAGAAGAGTTTGATCAACAAGGACATTTGTGGGTAAAAAAAAGACAATAAGAACACTATTGTAGTACAATGAAGTAAAGTGTTTCCTTCAAGTAGACGAAAGAAACGTGTCGAAGGTACGACGTAAAAGTGAGCGATATCTTTTGATAAAAAAAAAATATCCAAGATAAGAAATCCGGTTCGAAATTAACATTGTGAGAATTCTCTTTTCGAAGTGCGGTCGACATAGTTTATAAATTATGTTCAAGGTTCTTTTTATTTCTTTTCTTTTTTTTATTTATAGTTATTTATTCCCCCAACCTACCCTCCACCAGCGATAGGCATGATATGCAGGTAGCGTAATTGTTATCGGAATTGGAATCGGCGAACTGTTCAAATTCCAGCCGAATTTATCGCGTTCATTTTTGCACTAATAACTTTGGAAACGGCATGAATTCATCTCGTACAACAGTGTGTTAAATAACAAAGTAGATTGTGCTCTCTAGCTTTGGGTGGCACGAAGTTTAGAAGAAATACTCTGAATTCAAAATCACGGAGAAGGTAATCGGAAACCCCTCCAGTATCTTTCCTAAAATGTCATAGCAATAAAATAATAAAGAAAAGGAATCTTTGGGGAGAGTCATGATCGCCAATGTTCTAAAGAATCATGGCATAAAAACAAAACTTCATTGGTAATAGTTGAAAAATAAGACAAATTTAGTGTAATATCGCATTTCCTAAGCACTAATTGAAGGGAAAAAAAGCTTAATTTCAATGGCTTGACAGATAAGCATGATACCCATTTATCCAAGTCGGCTGCTCTAAGAGTTTTATATTCTATATAGATTACTGATCCCTCTCTCTATATCTCTCTCTTATATATATATATATATATATATATATATATATATATATATATATATATATATATGTGTGTAAAACAAAGACAAAGTGGGCGTGTTGTTTTTTCTGATATTGTGCGTCGTATTGGGATGCTTGGTTTGTTTGTTTGTTTGTTTACGTATGCATAGCACATCTCCTAACACGTACTTTTGTCCTTATTTTATTCAAAGTGATGACGCCAAAGAGAACATAATCATTCTCCGGCGAAACGCATCTTTGATAAAACATTTTACACTTTGTCTCATCATTTTCACTTTGTTTCGGATACTGTTTTATATCCTGCAAACACACGCATACGTATATATATATATATATATATATATATATATATATAATCAGCGATTTTTCAAAATGGATGACAGTTTATTAATAGCATTCCCGACAACTACTTTTCTTTTAGAAACAATTCCATTCCTTTTAGTTATTAGATTATTCACGTTCTTAAATTCTATAATTTGTAGTTTCTCTTCCATTCAGAGATTGCAATTTCTTTCTCTGTTCGTTTGTATCTCTTATTATATACCATTCTACGAATTATTTAATTCCAGTATATATTTTTGACATGTTATACGAAATAGATAACAATAACACTATGTTGTCAAAATTTCAGACAAATAAACGTGCAGAGGTTTTCCTTATCCACTATTTCGCTTTCCACGGTTTCAAATACCGACGCTCAACCCCGGAACAAAAAATTCATAAGTTTTACTTTATAATAAAAACATGATTGGTTATGCTCGCAATTCGGATTTGCCAAACAGAAGCCGTAAAGTGTTTCTTTTAAGTAAAAAAAAAAAAAAATGAACGTTCTCGACTTAATAAGGAAAGAAAAAATTGTATACCACGATCTACAGCAAGACGAATCTTCTGTTCGTCAGATAATTTTTATTGCGAGATATATTTTTAATTTTATTATTGTTAATCTCATATTCTGTCTAAAACTTTCTCAACGGGAAAATTAGTATCTATAGTGTTTAGTACTATTCGGTTTCAAATCTTTGAGATCTGCGACTAAAATGAGACTGCTGTTCCCAGAATGGGAAAGGGGTGTGATGCCGCTATAATTTTAAAATATTTTTGGTCAAATGAAGCCATTCACATATTAAGATTGTTAACATTGTCGAAGAAACTTAATTGAATGCGGCACTTTTAAAGTTGGAATAGTTTTTAATGTTTAATTTGACCAACACAGAATGATTTTCATCCTTGTTTCAATTTCCAGGAGAAAAAGACCCACTTGTGTTTTATATTTTAATATACGGTATATTTAACAAGTATATTCCAGCGCTTTTTTGTTGTTTTTTTTTTTTTTTGGGGGGGTTCTATTTTGGGGTTTTTTGTTTGTTTGTTTTTTTTTTTTGTTTTTGTTTTTTACAACCCCAATTTATCAATAAACGCCATTTCCTCTTTGCGGACTGAAAGTCCTTAAAACAACAACAAAATAGGGGGAAAAAATGAATGATTTGGTACAAATTATTTTTCTATTCTCTTTGCAGACACGTCTCAAAATTATATTATTTCTAACATTTGACACTTGAGAATATATATATATATCTATATATATATATATACACGTTTTGTTGTTTTTATATATATATAATACAAAAAACATTTGATATAATCCGATTTTCTGTCAAAAATCATTTTTATTTCCTTTTTTTATTGTTTCAATTATTTCATTCATTTCTCCACTATCATCTTATCCTTTCTATTGTTTTGAACACAATTTTTCAACAGATGAATTCTCCGGCTTTCCTCTGGTCTACAATATAATCTTTTGCTTCCGCACCGATTCAAATGATAAGGATTCGTCTGTTACTGCAAATGACAGTGATCAAAACAACGAGGATGGGGATTCTAGTTGGAGTAATTCATCAAATATCGACAAAATCTCACCAAAACACTTCAATTTTCATTCTTCGTATTCGTGAAATATTGGCTATATTTCATTCCGTCTCACATAGACGAAAGAAAGAGTTATGAGCTTTATTTACAGTTTCAGGAAACCGAGCAAATTTGAAAAGATTTTTTTTGAATGCACTGGTATGTTATCGATTTAATTCTGAAAAATCACCTATGGTTAAGCTCTCAGAAATTTTAGAATCATAATTAGGAAAAGTAATTTTAAATTCTATTATTTCAATACAAGGAAAGGTATTTCATTTGTAAAGATCAGGAACAAAATATCATTGTTAAAAAAATTTCAAGCCGTAACCAGATAGATTAATATTTATACAGGTATAGGTCATCATTCGTAATCAAATGAGCTGGACAGGTCATCTGGCGCGTATGGAGGATGACAGGTTGCCCAAAAGACATTTATGGTGAGCTAGTACAAGGTAATCGACTAGCTCATAAGCCCCAAAAATGTTTTAAGGATGTAACTTAAAGACTCTTGGCTTTAATGTTGAAGATTATGAAACGGTTGCTGAACACAGATCTGGCTGGAGAAGGTTGATTTGTGAATCCTGCATCAATTTTGACCATTACAACAAAAAGGGTGCAATTAGGAAGGGAGAAATAGAATCCGTCCCAGAGCTATAAGGACACCAATACACAGTCACATGAGACCACACCAGAGAGGTCAGGTGCAAACTCCTGTGAATACAACCCTACCAGAAATCTCTACAGGTTACTTGTGCGGGTTTTGCAACTAGGTTTGTAAGTCTGTTACGAGACTCAAACGTCACATTGTACAGAAGGACTGGTAAGTTTCCAACATAGGTAACACAGACAAACTTTATTTGCCACGTGTGTAAAAGAGGCTGTAAAAGTGATGCGGGCCTTAAGAATCACTTCTGGACCCATAGCAGAGCGTAAGCTCTGGTATAAATGATAGAAAAAAATAAAATTCCGAATGGAAAACAAACAAAAATGCTACCAGCTGTTGGGATGGTCTACTTCTGTAAAGAAATGAAAATCACTATAGGTCATTATAGCAACCAGGAGCAAACTGGAAAAAAATACAATAAAAAGAAATAAGGACAAAGCTTGTCAGCTGAATTTAACAAAACGTATTATATATATATATATATAATATATATATATGTATATATTAAACTCTTCCGTCATATTCGATGTATGAGGGTCAAGCAGCTCATTTCCTAGGAACCGACAGCCAGACACTAGCACGTGTGATTTGATTATAGTGGTGAAGGTTTTGGGCAGAACTATCCACACTTTTTGAAGGGCCGAATACAGAGACCTGGTGCGCTACGTGCTACAAGGTCCCCATACGACCCTCCGCAGGTTTTGAATTCAGAGTTGTCCTTCTCCTAGACTAGTTGATAGAAGGCTATTCTGTCCTGCTAGTTACCCATAGTTGGAGCGAGAAGAAGAGGATATTAG